TGTTCGTTCAATAAACACATAAATAATATATAGCCTGTAAGTTGGGTATTAGGTTTTTAAATATGATTTATTGGGCTCTATGGGTACTTTGGATATTTCACATGCATTCTTATTTAATGCTAACAACTTTGAAGGAGATTTTAGTCTCATTTTATAGATGATGAAGCTATTTTAGTGAGATTTAGAATTCATTCAAAATGTTTATATTAGCTAGCTCTTATTTGTGTTGTAATACAAAAATATTTTAAAATCTCAGTGTCTTAAAGCAAATACCTACTCTTCTCACTCATGTACCTGTTGTGTGTGGGTTAGCTGTCGCCACAGGAGTAGTCTCTTCTTGTAGCAGAGGGAAAAGAGGGCCAGTGGCCCAGCCATGTGTTGGTTCTTAAAGCTTTTGCTCGGAAGTGGTATGCCACTTCCACTCCTATTTCACTGGACAAAACCAGTCAAAATGGCTGAGCCTGATGGCAATGTGGTGAGGAAGTGTAATTATAGGCTAGAAAAATGAGAATCCTACTCTACCACAATCCTTCAGCTGGAAAATAACTTCAGATTTATACAGATATGTGGCTTTTATCTGCTGTGTATTGCGATATTTTAGGTTTCCAGTTGCCTGGGCCAAGATTGTTGTTACCACAGTCATTGTCTTTAGGTGGTGGTGATGAAGAGAAAAATGTGAATTTTAAAATCCTTTATTGATTTTGATTATCGTTGCTAGTGGAGAACAGTATCACATCTATTTAAAGGAGCTAATAATAATTTTCATTTGACTGGAATATGTTATTGTTTTCCCTTCTTAGCTTGCTTCTGAAATTTATCTCCTTTCCTTTTTTCTAGTCTGCTAGACCTCAAATAATAGTACTTGCTAATTCTGCATGTATTCACACATTTAATTTTCAACTGAGTGAAGTAGACAGTACTATTAACCCATCTTACAGATACGGAAATTGTCTTTCCACCAATTTCCATCTTACAGATATGGAAATTGTCTTTACACCAAGTTCCTTAGGGAATAAGGGACTTAGAAGTAGCAATCTGGTCGCTGTGGGATTCAAGTTTGTTGTAGGTGTTGCATACTTGGGTGAGGAAGACTACCCTCCAATTGAGGAACAAGTTGGTAACTTTGTTAATAACTATGTGGGGAGAGCCAGATGTTCTTTACTCAGTGATACCTGTTCCTTTTTTCCTTGTAGCCCTGAACCTGCCAGACGTATTTGGGTTGGTGGTCCTCCCATTGGAGCTGAAGCTGCGGATCTTCCGACTTTTGGATGTTCGTTCTGTTCTCTCTTTGTCTGCGGTTTGTCGTGACCTCCTTATTGCTTCAAATGACCAGCTGCTCTGGAGGTGTTTATATTTGCGGGATTTTCGAGGTGATTGTTATGACATGCTAATCTCTCTTACCAAGGTCATAGTTATTTAGCTTGCCAAAAGTTTTTAGTTGTAGGCTCTTTTTTTTTTTTTTTTTTTAAAGAGTTGCAAATAATCCTAACAGCTTTATTGGAAGATTCTAAGCCTCTTAGAATATACTTTGCCTGTATCCTGAAAATTCTTCCTTTTTTTTTTTTTGGTGTGTGTGTGTGTGTGTGTGTGTGTGTGTGTGTGTGTGTGTTTCCCATAACACAAATAGCCCAGTAGATGAACTAGAATATTTCAGGATAGTAAAAATTTCAAGTTTGGTCTTTCTTTTTAGACCATCCTCCATATCTGACTTAGCGGTCTGGTGCATTTCCAAATGACTTCCATGGTTGTGACCATGTGCACAAGTTAAGAGAGCCCTGCTTGCTTCCCTGTGGCATGTTGCTGGAGAAGCTTTATTTCCATGTAATCTCATTTACGGGGACCTGGTGATCTTTGCAGCAGTGATGACAGTGGAACTTGGGGATGGGGAGATGTTACCCCAAATGTAAAAGCCCTTTACCTGGTGTATCAGGATTCCCAGATACAAGCCTGGAAGCCTGACTGGTATTTCTTTTCTGCATATCAGTGTTTTTTGAAACTGGTTTGACTCTGAGGTGGGTCATGAAATTGATGTAATGGGTCATTAAAAAAAATCAATATGTATTTTATGAAATAGTTAAAAATTTCTATTTCAGTATATGTATATATAGGTATATATTATGTTGCAATGTAAAAAATATTTGTGGTTCACATCAAGAAAATGCAAATGATGGTGCTACGTATAACATACCATCTTGGCAGCTGTAAAAATCTGGCGGGTAGATTCCCTTCCTTATTTGTACTAAAGAATATTATGTAGAATCATTTGGATTGTTAAAAAACCTTTTTTTCCCTTCAAAAGTAAGAAGTGAATGACCTGGTTTTTCTGTGTCCTCCCCCTTGATTCCTAAGGTCCTTGTTTGACATTATTTATGCCCCTGAGTCCACGGTTCAGAGTATCATTTTGTTCTAGGAGGCAGCAAGTGTCATCTCAAATTTTAAAAAAATAATTATAGTCAAGAATGAAAAGAATGACCAGAGTATATAGAGGAACCAACCAAAAAACCAGGCTTTGATAAAAAGTAGGCAAAAAAGCCCTTTTATGTCATATTCAAATTCAGGTTAAAAAGAGTTAGTCTCTATTTCATTTCCAGATTGAGGTCCACAAGCTTGTCTGTAAGCCGAGGGTTCAGATTTTCTAATGAATTTCCCTATGGCCACCATGTTATGAGACTGGAACTTTTATAAAATCTTCCTTCCATGCCCATGTAATAGCTTCTCAGGAAGCCTCTCTTTTATGGAGACTCTTCATTAGACTTAAATTGAAGAATTTCCTTTTTCCTCATTTTCACATATTTCAAGTAAATAAATATATTAAAAAATATTGAGTTGTCTGGATCATGCTTCTATGAGTTGGGGGAAAATAACCCAGATATGGAAGGAAACTTCAGGTCCACTTTCCCTGTAGTTCTGATGGGCTGCAATGGGCACAGATTGTCACCCAGTAGGTGTCACAGAGAGTCGGGATTAGAGGCAGCAGCCGCACTCAGATGGGACAGGGGAGGAGGCGCAGCAGGGGATTGCTGGGGGGGGGGGGCAGGGGCTGGGGCAGGAAGGGGCAGGGACAGCTCATGTTCCTCCACGTCCCCTGGGTGCCCCGCACAGACTTCCCACGAGCACAGAACGGTGACCGGTGCCTCAGCAAGAGAGGTTTGAGTGAGGCGCAAGAGGTGCAGGTCCTGCAGGATGTGGTAAACAAGTGATTCATGTTCCTTTCTGTGCTGAATGCGTAAGCTTCAGTTTCCTTAGGACAAAAGCAAAATTGCTCTTTAATGCTGGATGCATGAAGCATTTTAAATCTTTTTTTTTTTTTTCTTTATAGATGGTACTGTGAGAGCTCGAGACACAGATTGGAAAGAAGTAGGTATTAATATCGAGGCTAATGTTAACATAAGCACAGCAATAACTAGTGAGTTAATACATTAAGGGCATATTGATTACTTTTGTTAAGTAATGAAATCTGTTTTTATTTGTTGCTCATTTTCAGTAAAGTTGTTTTTTAACTTTTGACTCAAGAAAAAGGAGTCTTATCGCAGCATTGTTTTTCACCTTGACTTCATAAAAAACATTCTATCTTTCTCTGTTGCAAAAAAATTTTAAGTTGAGTTTCTGTGCTGGACTCGTCTGGCTGTTCAAGTCATTAGAATAGTACATTGTGAAAAGAATGAATGTTGTTTGACGTGCAGATGCCTGCCGTACAAGACGTTGACGGGACTGAGAGAAACGGGGAGGCTCGTGGGCTGGAGGGTCCTCAGACTGTCCTCAGTGCACAGCACTGCTCCTTAGGAAGATGTGCCAGCCTCTGAAATTGGCATCTCTCTTTTGTTGTGGTTTAAGTTGAGGTGGAACCTGATTTAGGTGAAAAAGTGAACTTAAATGCTGTTCCTCCTGCCCCCAGTACCTTAACTTTATATTCTGTGGCATGATATTTCTCAACATATATTTATGTTTTCCATGTTCAGGAAAGGCTGACCTAAAATCGTGTATTGGTTAGCTCTGGATTAGAGCCTTTACGGTACAGGTCACTCAGTGTTTCTCCAAATGGGCACAGTTGCTTGGTTGCCCTGTGGCTGAAGAGAAGAGTTGGTTCGGCCTTGTATGCCCAGCTCCTGCCTACTCGTGGGGAGGGAAACTGCTAAACGTTCTCTCCTGTGCACTGGTTCTTTGTCTGCTTCGTAGTGTGGGAAGAGCAAAGTGTAGATAGCGCAGTGGAAGCAAATTGGAACTTTGGGGAAACATCCAGATCACTTACGGTATCTCGTTCTTGTGTTTCTACAGCTGTACAGGAAGAGGTACAAACAAAGAAAAGAAGCTCAGAGAGCACGCCACATGATGTTCCCGCCTTCATCGCCCCACCCCATCCCCTTTGGCCCCAGCCCCTGGCACCCCAGGCCTTTTCCTCCTAGCTCTCTCCTTCCTCCAGGAATTATTGGTGGAGAATATGATGAAAGATTAACACTTCCCTTTGTTGGGGACCCCATCAATTCACTCATTCCTGGGCCTGGGGAGACCCCGAGCCAGTTCCCTCCACTCAGACCACGTTTTGATCCTGTTGGCCCGCTTCCGGGACCTCGCCCCACCTTGCCAGGGCGGGGTGGCCCAAGTGACAGATTTCCCCTAAGGCCCAGCAGGGGCTGGCCAACTGACAGCCGGCCACCATTCATGTGATTGATTTGTAATCTCACTTCTGGAGCTTGTTTAGTTTTGATGTCATCTTGTTTTGGTGCTGATCTCTAGTGTTTTCTGATTGTGATGGTGAGGAATGCACTCACAGTGGCCTTTCAGTAGATCTGTTTAAAGCTCCAGGGGTGGTAGGGCCCAGAGGTCACTGTATGACGAGGTTGACCTTGGGAATAGATAGCTACCGACGTACACCACCCCCACCCCCCGCCCCGAATTCCCCTCTTGAGTGAATGAAGGTGGTTCATCGATAATGTTCTCCACCAGATTAAAAAAAACAAAACAAAACAAGTCATGTGGCAGTCTTGATTTTTATTACAGAAAGAGAATAAATACTCAGAACAGCTTCACAACATTACTTGGAGATTTCAGAATGATCAGAAAACCTATTCAATGTCATCAGATTGTTACAGGGGATTTTTTAAAAATTATGTTTTAGTCGCACCCTTTCTTTAAACAAAATCATTTGCAGAAGCCTGACTTACAAAATGAATAAAAACCAAGCTAGTTCGGTTGAACTGGACTTGGGGTGGGTGCTGTGGACACCCACCTGCTCCGTCACCTCCTCTCTCTGCAGGTCTTTCTCGGGTTCAGTAGTGAAACCTCTGGGCTCTGTAGCAGCATTTTTTTTTTTTTTTTTTTTTTTTTGACAAACATTGGGTTCTAGGGACTCTATCTGGCTCCTCCTGGAGTGGAATTTTTTTTCCTTGTGTTTGGAACACTTGGTGCCTAACTTGTAATCTAAGTAGGTGACATCTTTTAACATCAGTTTTACTGCTTTAAGTGCTGGTCAGGTACTTGTTTTTCAAAGATAGCCTCCTATTATTTGAAGAACATTTTACTTTTAAGATTTAAAATACACAAAATTCAGGTTTTATTCATCTTAGAAGAGAAAGGCCAAACACACATGTCTTCTCATACAACTATAGAAACATGCTATTGTCACAAATTAAAATCCAAATCACAACACAGGAATAGAACACTATTAGTATTTGCAGACAATATTTAGGAATATTGTCAATGTTTTCCTGCTTTTTAAAAAAACCTGTTTTGCATATAAGGAAATGGCTTGGAATGTTCTATGCTGCAAGAATATTTTGAGTCCTACATGTGAAAATATTTTTTTGCTACAGATATAGTCTTTATTCCCATCACAGTGAAGAAAATTCAGTCAATAATAGGGTTTTCTAGAGGCCATGCCACTTTTAAGTAGCTTAATGTATATAGGCGAAGGATTGGGGCTTTGACATTTCTTTCTGTGGTATTTTATAGTATCTGAGCTATTTATCTGAGCTTTTTAAAAAAGCGTCCACTAGATGCTGTGTGGCTTTAACTGGGTCTGGGCTGAAGAACTATCAGAAGCTTTGGTGGGTCTACCCTGCTGTCTCTGGCTGTCTGGGGTGTCAGGCTGCACTGGGGGGTGGGGGGTGGTGTGGAGTGCAAGGATGGAGTGATGACCAGAAGCACCGAATACTAGAAGATGAGTTTGTAAAATGCAGTCATTTTGAATGGTCCTTGAGAGGTCTGTGGATGGTGCTTGTGTCCCACGGATGCAGGTGCTGCTCCTCTCTGACACTCCCCTCGGGCCTCCCGGCAATAGGACCGATCTAGCTGAGGATGCTGGCGCTGGGCCGTCCGCCTGAGGTTGCAGGCCTCGAACAGTGGCTTATTCTAATTCTAAATTCTTAAACCAGCCTCCAAGCTTTTCCTCTTGAGCAGCTAAATTTGTAGTTAGAAGCTTGTCAAATCCTACATTCTTTTCATCAGGCTGAAACTGGAGCTTTATGTATTGCTGGTGTGTAATGAGAGTGAGCTCACGGCTTGGCAGCAGCACGGTGGCTGTGTGACTTCTGACATCACTTTGGTAATACTGGAATGGAGGCGAGACGGTTTAGAGCGCTCGGGAGGTGGGCCGGGAAGACGTGGTTGTTCACCGGCTCGGAGCCTTCCCGACTTTACCGCCCCGTGTTTCCCCCGCAGATCTCACGGACGGGAGCTTGCCCTTTCTCCCCCCTTCCCTCTGAGTGGAGATGCGCTTGGCCGTGGCTGCGCTCAAATCACGGGAGGGGCCCTTTCCTTCCCACGTAAGGTTCTGTGACTTCCTCCGTAAGCACGGTGGACTTCTGTGCTCGCCCTCGCGTGGCCCTCCAGTTCTGAGACCGCTGTTGAGCCTCACGTCTCCCTAATTCTTCGGACGGAGCTGGACTTCGCTCCCTCGGCTCCCTCGGCTCGGGCGGCGCCAAGACTGGCGTGTCTCCTTTCGGGGGCAGTGGCTGCCCGGGCCTCGCCCGCTTCTGCCCCTGACTCCGCGGAAGAGCCGCACAGAGCGGGTTCTTCCCCCGGGAGGCTCTGGAAATGGGACTCGCAAGTGAGAGGACCCACCGGAACACACGATGGAGGGCAAAGGGGAATGGAAGGATTCACACGCGTGCCTTGTGGAAGGAACGTTTCCTTTCTGATTGGTGTCGCCTTAAAAGCAGTGCCCCCGACTTCAGAAATCACTTCCTGGCCGTTCTCTCCTCTGGGCCGGGCGGCCCGGAGAGCCGCGGTCTCACCTACTGGGGCCGCCTATTTGTCTCTGCAAACACGAGGGAGCCTCTGTGCCCGTGCTGCGTTGTGCCTGGTTGACGGACTGATGCGACTTGCTTGTTGCCCAGACTTCTAATCGTCTCCAACCAAACCCCAAATGCTGCCTTCTCTTAGAGTCCAAATATTAGACCGAATCTCTGAATTTTATCAGGGGCCGTGTGGGAGTCGGGACAGCTTTTGACGCCGGTCAGTGCAGTGAGTCCCCGCCCGGCACGCTCTCCAGGCACATCCAGAAACGTGTGGGACAAGCAAAGTGCACATGGGTCCTGAGCTGCTCCTCCACCTGGCTCGGTCCCTGCCGCACCTGCCAGCTCATCTGACCGGCCTAACCTGGGACTCGGCCCTGTCCTTTCAGCAGCGCTAAGCGCATGAAGCAGAACGAGCCCTGACCCATTGGGTGAAGTGGAATAGAGCCTGAGCCATCCACTCCCGGCGCTGGGACAGCAGGCTCGGGGGGCCACGGTGACCATGTGGCTCTGCGCTGTGGTGCGTGGTCTGCGTGGGGCTCCACGGCCCTGCTCTCTGCTCTGCGAGCCTCCTCTGACCGACGCTGAAGTTGGCACCTGGTCCCTTTGGCTCCCGCCCTGGTGGCCCCCGGGCTGTGTGATCCCTGATCTGGCTCGCTCCCATTCCTTCCCAGGCTCCCTGGGGAATCTGAGCCCTCTCTCTGAGGCTAAAAAACCGCCACAGATTTTCTTCAGCTTCCTAATACGTCGGTGCGACTCTTCCTCACACTGAGATTCCTTTAAAGACCGCCCTTTTCTCCAATCTGAACACTTCATGTACATTTGACTAGTTTCCTAGTTTCCTAAAAGCATGTCCTAAATGCCGGGGTGCCGAGCAGTGTGCCCGGTGCCTGGCTCATGAGGCTCCTTCAGCTGCAAACGCCGGAGAACCTTCGGAGGGGCTCCTGGAGCTTGCCACGGTATGTGCGACCTTGTGGGTGAGGCCCGTCCTCCCTGCCTCCTCAGCAGGCACTGAACGTTCAGAGGGAGAACAGTAATGATGAAGAGAACACAGAGGTGATGGAAGAGGGAGGACATGCCGACTGAGTGTCCCTGGAAAGCTGACTTCACAACCTAGATAACACGGTGCCATCCTACCATGGTGACAGGAGGGAGACCAGACCAAGAGTCTCCCCTGTGCTGGTGGCAGTGTCCCTGCGACTATGTCCTTAAACCCCCATTCACTGTGCTCCACGTTCACACAAACCAAATGGATCCTGCTGCTGTTTCAGCCTCCGCAGGTCAGCCTGGAGGGAAAGTGCTAGTCTGGCTTTGGGTTGAAGTTGTGACATAAAGCGAAACACAACAAACATCCTTTCAGAATCTCCCCAGAGTGACTCGCGTCCTCACTTCATTTTGCTCTTTCCCACTCAAAACTGTCACAGCGATTGAAAGTGGAATGTGTGGAAGGAATGGGAGCTAGCCGATGCCAGAGGGGATCTGTGCCCTCCCGAGGCCATCCATCGTTGGTCTCTACCCCAGTACACAAACCAGTGGGAAAATGTGCTCCCATGGGCCAGTTACAGTGTCACATCATGGATCACGGGTACATGGTCATAAAATCCGGATGCCCGGCCTGATAGAAGTGTGTGCTATTGTAGCTGGAGTATCTGGGAGAGAGCGCATGAACATTGAGATGTTTTTAGGGACAAGGGACAGATTACAGGAAGGGGAAAATTCAAGCCATGCAGTCACTGTTTATGGGGCTGCAGGGTTTGCTCACCAGAGGACTGGGTCCCTGGCCTCTCCACCCAGCTTGGCTCAGGGCTGCTGCTCTAACCTCAGCATAAATGCCAAATAATTGGGGAGACAGACAATCATAAGGTTTGGGCCTTATGATGAGAAATCCTGACTCCCTGGGTCTGAAATGAAGCTAGCTGTGCCCACACTTTGAGAAACTGTGCAGCCCATGACCACCCTGTGCTGTGTCTTGAGCTGCATCTTATCACTAAGTGCGAATCAAGCGAGACTGACTTTTTCTGACCCTACCTTCCAGCGTGGAAGAGGGATGATTGCCTCGGGTGGTCTCTGTGTTCTTGATTCCCCAGGACATGCAGGCTGCCTGGTGCTGCCCTGTCCTACCAGCTTCTTCTCTCTCCTCTATTAAAATGTAGCTCCAGGCCAAGGACATGTTTCTCGTGAGCATCCTCTCTCTGTCAACAGGGAGGGGAGGACACGTCTTAAGTAGGAAAGTCGGCTGTACGGGGAGAGCGAGCGGCTATGTTCTAACGTCCTGGACTCTTGGCGAGACCAGGAGGCTGGTTCTGGCACCTACCATGTTTCTAGCACCGGGTGCATGGTGATTCGGGGCAACCCTGCCCCTCATCTGATCATGGGGGGTGACCTGATGTAGGGAAAGGGCCTTGGAAAGGGAGTCACTGAACTTGTTTAGCCAAATAAGTTTGGGTTAAGCCAGGTGAAAGCTCATTCCTTTACTGCAGGAAGCCCGAGAGACATGTAATGTGTACCTACCAGTCTCAAAACAGGAAATAGAAACAGTGTTTCCTAAACATGTGGGACTAGGGGACCCTCTTCTGAGTGACCTACCCGTGCCTTGCTGTCAACGGTCGGAAATGGCGGCCTAGGAGTTCTCAGCCTGTGCCACTAATCTGCTGACTCTGGTTCCTCCTTTGTCCCTGAGGAGGAGACAGCCTTCCTGACGGGAATGCGGAGAGTTCTTGGGGTGTGTAACACGGGACGGGCGGAGGAGCCCTGACGGACTCCTTCCTCGGGAAGTTGAGGGCATCGTCCTGTGCTGGGAACAAGTGATGCTTCATAAAAGAGCCCGAGGTTGGCTCTTGGCGGTCAAGTCTGGGCGTGGGCGGCCCTTCAAGACTTCCCCTCGTTTTTGCCGTGTTCTGAAAGCCCCCGCTGGTCACATGGGATCTGATCTCTTCCCACGGTTCTCAAAAGCCCACTGGTGGCCACAGGTGATGGGTGTTGGCCTGTGGTCTGAGGGGCGAGCTGGAGCCTGGATGGAACTAGCACAGGTAGGTGGTAGGTTCCCCTGGCTGGGCTTTTGTCCTTCTGTTTGCAAAACACTGTCAAAAGATTATTGCCTCCCAAGTTGCTGAGGTCCCACTACAGCGCCTGCATCTGGAGGGGTGAGGCCAGGTCTGGACGGGCTGTCCCCCAAAGGCAAGCAAAACACTAACAAGAAATGTGAAAAGTAGCCACACACGCACATTTCACTTGGTTATCTGAGGCAGGGGAGCAAGCATCTGGGTGGGAGGGCGATGTGTTGCCATTAGGGCCGGATGTGAGGAACCCAGGGGCCCTCAAAGGCCCACCATGGTTGGATGATGCTGCAACGTCATGGTAAAGGGAGGTGGGAACACGCAGAGATCCTCAGTCCCTGGGTCAGAGGCATTAGAGAGTATTTTTGCAGGCCCTCCATTCTGTTCCCCTTGGGAACCAAGGCTGAGAAGGACCATGAGGCAGAAGGAGAGCGCGCCCGAACTCTCTGCCACCCCAGCCCGGGCAGGTTAGTCAGAGAACAGGCTGGCAAAGGACTTCCTCAGGTTGCGGATGGTCTCGGCCTTGGCCTCATCTTCACTTGCAGTCCCACGCTGGGAGGCGTCGGATGTGCTGAGGCTGTTAGTCAGGGACTGGGATTTGCTGAAACAGAAAGGCAAGGGGGGTTGGGGGGGGCGACAAGGCCTGGGAAAGGGCTGAGGGGCCTTCCTGGGAACGGCAGGGTGAGCCCAGGGAGAAGCCAGGCGTCCCGACGTTCACACACAGTCTTTAACATGTGCAAGGGGGTTATTGGTACCCTCCAGGTTCAGGTGCAGAAATGGGCTCATGCCAAGTAACGGACGGGGGTGCCCAGGGCTGATGTGCTTCCCAGCCGCCCAGGCTGCTCAGGCGCAGGCATTACTGGAGGCCACTCCACTGCTCGCCCGCCTCCCCGCACTGACTTGTACGGCCAGCTGTGAAGGGCTGGACCCCATCCAGGGGTGGCCGCCCCTCCTCCACCTCCTGGCTCAGGCCTGAGAATCAGGAGGTGCCACCTGCCCCTCTGGCCTCGGCAAGGGCCTCCTTCCCCTCATCGGGACAAGCGAGAGCAGGTCTAGCCCACCGGCCGGCCGCTTCAGGATCCTCAGGGTGCCCGCCTGGTGCCAGGGGACAGGGCTGTGGAGATGAATAGAACTGGGGCCTCGCTCTCAGGAGACTCACACTCCAGTGGAGGTGACAGACCCAGGAAGAGATGCTGTAAAAGCCACACAGTCACCATATGCTGTCACCATAAAGGAACCAAGCTCCGCTCCCAGGTGGGGACTGTCTCGTTCCCCTTGCTAATTCTGCACAGGCCTCACCCAGGCCTCGGTGCACACTGGTATGTGATAAATACCTGCTGACTTGAACTGAACCACGTACAACTTTAAAGCAACAAACCTGGAGGTTTCAGCGTCACTGGGTTACTACAGGGTCAGTACTTACCGTCCACGGCACTCTGGTATGTGATAAGTACCTGCTGACTTGAACTGAACCACGTACGACTTTAAAGCAACAAACCTGGAGGTTTCAGCGTCACTGGGTTACTACAGGGTCAGTACTTACCGTCCACGGCACTCTGGTATGTGATAAGTACCTGCTGACTTGAACTGAACCACGTACGACTTTAAAGCAACAAACCTGGGGGTGTCAGCGTCATTGGGTTACTACAGGGTCAGTACTTACTGTCCACGATTCCAAAGCCCTCACCTGTCCTGTGATTGGCTGGGCTGCACCTCTTCACATGTGAGAGGCTGCCTCAGATACTCAGATCTAAGCACTAACTGGGCATGACCTCACTCTCATCCTCACAGTAACCCTATGGGGTAAGTACTACTGTCCCCATTTTGCATGTGAGGAAGGAGAAGCACAGGCCGGTTGAGTCATGTTTCTGAGGCCACGCAACTTTAAGCGGGAGAGCTGAGATTTGAAATCAGCTCATCTGACTCTGGAGTCTGCGGTCAACTATGCCGCCACATTGCCTGGAGGCCCACGTGCTAATATCTATATCTATTCAAAATGCATTTCTCCTTTGATCCAACAACACACTTGCTGGCATCTCGGCAGCTGAGCCTGTACATCTGAGAAACAGTGTGTGTGCAAGGTTATTCACTGCAGCCTTCTCTGAAAGAGCAAACCAAATTTCCATTTGTGGCGGAGGAGTTAGATTACAGTACAACTAACTACACGGCGGCGTATGATACAGCTGTGGGAAGGAAAAAAAAATCAGTGAATTGATGGAAGAGCTTTAGGATTTATTGTTAAATGTAAAAAGCAGGAGAAGAGGGTGGATAGTAAGTAAAACCATTTGTAAAAAGTGTGTGTGTGGGAAGGAACCAATACATATTTTTGTATTTGTGCGAGGAGACGTTGGGGAACACCCAAGGACCTAACCGCAGTGGTCACCTCTGGGGAGCAGGGGCCACGAGAGCACCAGTCAGGAACAAGGTGGGAGGAAGGGTTTTCACTGGATAGCTTTGATATGGTTAATATTGTCTAGATCTTTGGGCCATGTGAATGTATCACCCGTCCGAACACATGGTTAGCCCGATCCGTGGACTGGATGCCCTGTGTTCAATCCTAACTCTTCCGCTCACCAACGGTGGGAACTTTGGACATTTCCTTCTCATTTGTAAAATGTGGATAATAAGAGTTACTAACTCCTAAGCTTGTGAGAATTAAAAAAACAAAAAACAAAAAACAACCTGACTACGTGAAGTGCTTGGCACGTGGTAAGTGGACAAGGGATGCTGGGAGTAAGACTCTGCTTATCAACATTAGTGCTTGGCAGGGAAGGAAGGGAGGGGCTTTCCCAGGAAAACACATCTGGGACCTCTGGGAGCTCGAACCGAGTGATAGGCTTGAGTGGAAAGGGGATGAGCATGTGTGTCGTGATGGGTCGTCCACAAACGTGGCATGACAGTAACAGTCCCTCCCGTCCCTGGGGTCTAGCCTTTTGAACATGGCTTTGCAGGTCCTCCTGCCACAAGTCTTCAACCATGCAAGTTGCTTTGACTAAAAGCATGAGGTGGGATGAAGTGACATTGTGTGGCTTCAAAGCTAGGCCTCAAGAGGCCTTAAAGCTTCCACTTTTGCTCTTTGGGGACAGAATTCTACCCTCTGAGGTAGCAGGGCCCACCCTGCTGGAGCCTGTGGCCCATGGAAAGAGGGGCCCAGCAGACAGCAGATGTGTGTGTGTAAGGCCCTCTTGGACCATCCAGCCCCAGTGAAGATGCCAGATGACTGCTGCCATATGAATGATCCCAGGAGAGTAGGGTTGCTAGATTTCGTAAATAAGAATAGAGGATACCCACTTAAATCTGAATTTCAGATAGAAAAACAAAATACTTCTGGTTTAGCATAAGTATACTTTTTTTAGCATAAGTATATCCCATGCAATGTTTGAGAATATACTTATACTCAAAATTATTCATCACTTCTCTGAAATGCAAATCTAACTGGGCATCCTGTATTTTATCTGGCAACTCTACAGGAGAGACTGGCACGAGAATCTCCCAGTTGAGTCAAACTCAGAAAAAATGGGTGAACCAAAAACTTACGAACAAAGAAAATGGCTGTTTTCGTAAGCTACTATATTCCAGGGAGGTTTGTTACGCAGAAAGAGATAGCTGGTGCATGTGTATCTGGAGGATCGTGGGGGGAGCTATGCTCTCCTTGGACCTCCTGGGCCCTGGCGGCCACACCCAAGTCCATCCTTGAGGCCTCCTATCCACTTAAAATGTGGGCGAGGCCTCAGTGGATCCTCCTTCATCCTCTGAGTCCTTGCCTTGAGTCTACCAGGCTCTGCCCACATCCCATCTCCACCATCTACCCTGCCCAACCCCAGAGCACTTACTTGAGATGAGGTTGTGGAGGTGCTGGCTTCTTGGACTCTTCCCCCTGTTGGGAGGCACTGCGGCCTTGAACGGGGGGCCGGGGCTGGGAGGTGAGGAGAGCGCCTGGTTTGGAGGCCTGGTTTGCAGAACTGCCACTGGATGCCCGGGACAGCTGTGGAGAGCCGGGTGATCGCTGCTGCGGAGACCCGGATGGGGGGCTCAGGGGCTGCTGGCCTTGCGGGGAGAGCCTCTGCTGGGAGGGGCTTCCAGATCTCGCAGGCTGTGGGGATGGAGTTTGGCGAGGGCCCCCTACAGGGCGAAAAATTATTATGTTCAAGTTTTTCTTAAGATTAACAGGGCGGTGCACAGACATATCAAGGATGTTCATTACAGTGGTGTTTGTAACAGTGAAAAGCTGAAAACAGTATAAACGCCCCATCGAGGAAGTGGTCAGCAACACTAAGATCTGTCATAGGATGGAATACGCCGTGGCCACCATCGATGACGGCACAGTAACGGTAAGTGACGTATAGGACCACTGACAGCACGTGCTGAATGTGCACCGGGAACAGAAAAGGCAGTTTACAAAGGAGCACGTACAGTTTTATTCCACTTTAGCACCTACGTATATAGTCATATAAAAAATAAAGACTGGGAAGTTGTCTACCCAAACCAGTGAGTCTCTAACTTTAATGTGCGCACGAATCACTGGGGATCTTGTCAAAATACAGGTTCTGATCCAGTAGGTCCGGGACAGTGTTGTGGATTAAACTGTGTCCCCTCCACCCCTCACCCCTCCATTCTTATTTTGAAGTCCTTACCCACAAGGTGACTGCATTTGGAGACTGGACCCTAAAGGAACTAATTATTGTTAAATGATGTCATACGTAGGGTTCTCACCTAATAGGAGGGGTGCCCTTAGAAGAAGAGAGAGACCCCAGGGGCCGCAAAGAGGAAGGACCACGTGAGGACCCAGTGAGAAGGTTCTGTCTGCAAGCTATGGAGAGAACTTCCAGCCCTATTGGCACCTTGACCTTGGACTGCCATGACTAAGAGAGGATAAACGTCTTTTGTAGAAGCCACCCCATCTATGGTATTTGCTATGGAGCCCGAGCACACGGCTACTGGCGGGCTCTGGGTTCTGCATCTCCAACAAGCTCCCCGGTGATGCCTCCACTCTTTGCACTTTGAGAAATGAGCCACAGCTTGATGGTGACCAAAGTGGTGGGGTTAATTCTCTTCCTTTTGCTCACTGATGTTTCCCACATTGAAGATGTATGACTTTTGGGGATCCCTGGGTCGCTCAGCAGTTTAGTGCTTGCCTTCGGTCCAGGGCGTGATCCTGAATACCTGAGATCGAGTCCCACATTGGGCTCCCTGCATGGAGCCTGCTTCTCCCTCTGCCTGTGTCTCTGCCTCTCTCTCTCTCTCTCTCTCTCTCTGTCTGTGCCTCTCATGAATAAATAAATAAAATATTAAAAAAAAAGATGTATGACTTGAAACAATGGATTATCCCTTACTTTTCGATAGCTCTTTGAACTTTTCTAAGAACTTTCAAAGGCAGTATGTCATTCGATCTAGAGAGAGGCTGGCAGGGAAGATGCCATCCTTCTCGTCACGGAGAGGTGGACACTCAGCCTCCTCAAGGTCTCTCAACTACAAGCGGCAGCCACAGGAAGTTCACAAGGGCCGTGGCTTCTCCCTCCCCCTGCACGGAGTGTGTAGGCATCATGAGCTTGGGGACAGTTTAGCTGCCCAGGAATGACCTTGAGTGGAACTCCAAGGCCCCAGGCAAGCAAGGTGCTCTCTCCTCACTCTCAAAGCCTGAGGGTCAGAGTTGCTGACTCTGAATTGCATTTTGCCCAAAGAGCCTGGGGCCTGCTCCTGGGACAAGTGGTCTGTACCACGGTTGTTCGTGCCCTGCTTTGTGGAGATCATTCAGACAGGTGAGGAGACTGGAAGTTCAAAGGGGCTGGAGCCGTCTCCGGGGCCCTTTCATAATGTGACTTCCGCTCACCTGCCCTCCTCAGGTCTAACTGAGCACACACTACGTCATCCCTAGCCTAGGGCTGGGCAGCCTGGCAGTAGCACTGTGGTTAGGCATCATCCCCATAAATGTCCCCAATTTTGCAAAGAAGCTGAGTTCCAGACATACCGTGACTTGCCCAAGCTGTCACTTCTAATAAGGGGAAGAGTCAAAATTCAAACCTAGATCTCTTTGACTCAAAAGCTCTGTTTCATTTTCTCGTTCTTCCTTAAAAAAATAAATAAATAAATAAATAAAATAAAATAAAAATCCCAAACCCAAATAACTATGCCATGCAGGGCTGCCCCGAAGCCTCACATCTTTGTGCAAATGAAGGAAAGCTACTCTCCTGTAGGGGTGACAGCTCTGAGCCTGGTGCAGGAGGAGCTGGGCCTAGACTTCAGCTGACCTTTGTTCTCAGACGTCATCCCAGCCAGCACATGTGCCGAGGGCACGACCTGTATGTCTGGTGGCCCTGACACCATACTGGCACCAGGAGCCCCAGATCTTGACTCCAGTCTTGCATTACCTTGCTATGTGACCATGAGTAAGTCACTTTTCTCTGTGTTTCTGGGCCCTTGTTTGTAAACTGAAGTCCTCAGACCAGCCACTCAACATTCCTTCCAAAGCGAACGTTCCTGTGAGCCGGTGCAGCACTTTCTACGCTGGACTGGGTGGCGGCACCGATTCAGCAACTGATTGTACGTGGCCTTGATCTGCTGTGTATGGCTTTCCTCGCTGTCTGTCCCGGTGGCTTGGAGGGCCCGGGGTTCTCAAACCCAAACACCGATAGGACCAGCAGGGACATATGTAAATGAAGCTGGCAAGTGTCCAAAAAATCATTTGGCTTTAAATTTTTTTCCTTGAGATAAAAACATAGTTGAGACAACTCTTTCTCTAAAGAGGTGCAAGTAAAGAAAATGGCTGCTGGGGACAGTTTCTGAAGAGGAACGCAGGCGTCTGGCTTCCAGAGCTTCTGCTCTGTCGAGAGAACCTGCAATCAAGATATTTGTGCAAGAGCTCCTGACTTCTAAATGCTGGCTTACTCTTCTGTGTTTTAAACCCACTTCCAGTCAAAGCAAACCTCTGTTTTCTACTTTTATCTCAAGTCTTCCCATCCCCCCACCCCTATCCAGGGGCCAATAACATCTTGGAAAATCTGGATCCTCATTCATTCATTTAGGAACTATTGGTCGAGTCCCTCTTAGACACCCGGGCTTCCTCAAGGGACACTCATTTCTTTCAGCATCTTGGCAAAGCAAACAATTCAGTATTTTTAATTTCAGCACATACAAAAACCCATTAGCTTATATATAGAAAGTATTTGCCTAAGCACAGGGTCGGTGCTAAAAAATTATGAGGTTTGTTAAAAGAAAACTTCACTTTTTACGGTGAGTTCAAACAAACAAGTTAACAATGTGATCCTGTTATTTCGGGAACTCAATGAAAGTATTGTTCTTTAATTAGCCTTATTTTTAATCTGGATGTTAATTCAATGAGCGTTTGCTTTAATTATCTTAATTGATTTTAAATCGATTGTTTTTCAACTCACTAAAAGTGTGTTTAGCCTTACGTCCTGTAAAATAATATCTATTTATCAAGCATGTCTGTACTCTGGTCCGGAGAGGAAACCAGAATACAGTAGCTCTCTGTTTTAAAAGTGCTCTGTTCAAATGTGTTTTAAAAAATAAGTCCTGGGGCAGAGCGGGAAAGGAGACGGCAGGGCAGAGGCACAGCCAGGAGCCTGGCAGGGGGATGAATAAATCATTTTTGAACATTTATAATGATAGAATTACCGCCAGGCGGGAGCAGGGCACTGGGGCTGCTTTATAAGGATTGTTAATGGTAACAATCATTAAGAACAACACGTGTGTTTTAATTGTTAGTAAGACACACGTTATTGATAATAAGTTTTTAACAGTAAAAGTTATATAGATAGTTATTCCTAGTAAACTATTAGTAGGAAGAGCTAGCACCTCCTGGGCGTCACCTCCGTGCTGTCACCTTGCTAGCTGCTTCACCTGCATGGCCTCACGGTGGCCTCCCCATAACCACACAGGGCAGTGGTTCTATCACCTGCGAGACACAGGCTCCGAGAAGCCCTGTAACTTGCCTAAGACCTTAGGGTACTGACATGGGAGGAGGGTTCATAAACACGCTTATCTGCCTCAAGAAGAATCCTGCCGTCCACGTACATGGTTATAGAAGTTAGGCAGTTCCCTTTTCTTAAATACTTTCTGCCTTTTTAAAAAAAGATCTTATTTACTTGTTTGAGAGAGTGAGAGAGAGAGAGAGAGAGAAGAGAGAGAGAGAGAGAGAGAGTACACAAGCTGGGTAAGAGGCAGAGGGAGAGGGAGGAGCAGGGAGCCCAATGCAGGCCTCCATCCCAGGATCCCAGGATCATGACCTCAGCCGAAGGCAGATGTTCAACCACTGAGCCTCCAGGAGCCCCTACTTTCTGGCACACATGAGAAAGATGGATGGGGTACTTTATCTGACACCTGTGGAACGGGAAGCCATTAAATGCCCAGGGTCAGTTTTTTCCCCAAGAAACAATGAATATATCATTTTAATAAAAGCGATTAGAAAGGCCAGAGCATGAGATTAATGCTTCCCCCCCCCCCGATAGGTTCTAAGCAGATTCTTAAAAAGATTGCTGTGAACCCCCTGGCGGGGCTTCTTGATGCAGAGCTGCCTGGAAGCTCCAAGGTGGTGCTAGAGCAGTAAGCGCGCGCCTGGAAGGTTCTGGCTGCAAGTGAGCACCATGACGAGTTTCCTCCCCAGGCCCTCGTGGGAGAACCCTCAAGCAGCGACATTCCGTAAGAAAGTTAGTTATTGCCACGGCTTCATCCTGTCATCGCTAGTCTATCCTTTCTCTATTAAATGGTGGCATTTACACAGTAATGCCGGAATATTTTTTGAGGGAGAATTTCCATCGACAAGGTCTTATATCATGTTCTGCATTTCTCTCTTTCTCACTCTGGCTGGTTGGCTCATCAATCCATAAACAGGCACCACTAGGGGCTAAGAAACACTTTCTCAAAGATCTAAAAGGCCAGACTTATAAACCTGCATTTTCTTGCTGTGTTTCCTTGGGCAAAGCCTCAATGTGCACCTTAGCAGAAAGGAAATACTGATGTTTTCACTGTGGAGTGACTGGGAGACAAAAAAAAAAAAAAAAAAAAAAAAAAGGAGGGAAATAGATGGGGAAGTCCCTCGCCCGGTGCCTGGCATGCTGAGGTGCTCCGTGAGTTCTGTCTTCCCGTCCTTCCCTCCTGAGTGGAAGGGGGTGACACACATCACAGTCCCGTTCGCTCTGCACACAGAGTGCACGCATTCTGTGGCTACAGTATTAAGGTGGATTTTTCCCGAGTGCCCTCTGGAGACCACACACGGACTCCTTGGGGCATTTAAACATCCTCCCTGTATAATCTCTCTGGGTGACTTGTCCTGGCTCTTACCTTGTGTGGGCGGGCGTGGCTGGGGCTGTCCAAGCGGAGGCCCCAGCTGGGCTGGCCCTGGGGACTTTGCTGGTTTAGTCTGTGGAGCCTAGAGCAGGAGAGGAAAGAAACCTGTTGTGATGCCACAGCCACCTGCTTCCTCAGAAGGCAGGATTCATTAAGATCTTGTTATCACAGAGGTGAACTTATGTATGGCGCATAATTCTTAAGAGTACACACCATCGTGCCTTTTTTTCATGTGTATATGTCTGGGTAGCCACCACCCAGATCAGGACAGAACATTCCAGCAGAGAAGGCTGCCCCATGCCCCTTCCCAGCGCACAACTCCCTCAAGTATAACCATCATTCCCACAGCTATTATGATAGATTTGTTTTTGGGGGGGAAAAGGGGAGGGGAGCAGGTTTGAGACTTGCTTTTCCATAAAACTAGGAGCTAGCAAATTCTGTGGAGAATGATCTGGTAATCTGTGCTGAGGACCATAGAATGGAGGAGCTGTGTGGGAGCTTGTGGAGGTTGGGGGATGGAGAAACAGAAGACACAATAGTGTCTATTGACTGGTGCTCTGGGAACACACAAAGGGCATGTGTGTACACACATCTGTGCATGCACGCACACAACCATACACACATGGCCACACACACCCACTGCTCCCTGCTCAGGCCCAGCATGGAGGGCACAGAAGGGACAACTGGCTTCTCACACTAATGATCTCCGCCCTCGAGTGTGTTCCCCCCATGACATGGAAGGAAGGAGGTCTGAGAGCCTCCCAAAGCCCCTGTCTGGTTGAAGCAGGGGTGCAGGCCCTCATGCCCACCTCCACCTGCACCCCATTCTTGTCTCCCCGGGGAGGTGCCATTCTAGGGGCATCTCCTTTGATTCCGAGGGACTCCTCATTTCTGGACAGCCTGGCATTTCTCCCGGCCACAAAGTCTCCTGTGTTCCCGAGAACCTTACCCAAGGCCTCAGTGGTGAGGGCACAGTGCCCCCGGGTAGGAGGAGTTGGCTCATTTTGGAGACAACCAGGTCGGCCATCAGTTGTCTGTCCTCTTCCACGTGCTCGCCAATCAAGGGCATTGAGCTGTCCATCACCTGTGGGAGAGAAAGGAGGCCCGAGGGAGCCCCACGCAAATCCCTAGTGAGGCCCAGGAGGGCTGGCTCAGGGCTCAGCACAGAAGTGGCCGCTGGGTGGCGGTGTTCTCCAGCCAACCTGGTCCCGGCCTTGGGCTGGGTCTGCTCCCCTGGAGTCACCAAAGTCCCTGCAGTTCTGTCTCAATCAATTCTCTGGCTTCACTTCAATTCAGCCTCCATTTTTTGGGCTACAGAAATGTGACCAAGGGCCAGCGAGCCTTTGCTGACCTTTTCTGCTCTTTTCTTGGGGAAGCTGGTCTCTGCCCCCTCCTTTCCCACCTTGGCTCCTACCCAGGCTTGGGGCTGACCTCTGGGCCACTGGTCCAAGGTCAAGGTTTTCCACAAAGCCGGAAGCAGTGAAGGGGGCGGGGCTCAATTTGGACCAAAAATTGATATGGGCTGCAGTTGGCCCTGGGTTCAGAGAGAAGCAGCCTGTCCTTGGGGCCTCTGGCAGAGCCTATGCCTGCAGAGAAACTCCATCCACAGAGAAACTCCATCCTGTTTCTCAAAGGAGGCAAAGTACTCATGCTGGGGGGTGGCTCCTGAGAGATCATATTTGCTCAACCTGCTCTTTTGGCAGGTGGAGAAACTGAGGCCTAGGGATGGGAGGGGACTCAGCCAAAGTCACACAGGCCAACCGAGCACGTGCATGGGCAGCTGTAGAAGATGTGGAGTGGAGCATGGCCCAGACAGGCACTCTCTCCTCCGCCAGATTCCAGCCTGCTCACCTGCCCTGGCCACCAAACACATGGCCTTGTTTCCCCTCCTCCAGGCTCTGGACTTACCAGGCTCTGTCTTCTGACCAGGTCCCTACCTACACCGATTCCCTCTGCTCACTCTTCACTTAACTCCTTCTTGTCCTCTGGAAACACCCAGCTAAGCCCTTCCTCTCCCTCTGAGCTACTTCTAACCAGCTGCTCAGCCGCACTCCCACCTTGGGGAGCTTACCCAGGGGAGTGCTGACCTCTCCTGTTTCCCTGTGTCTTTCCACCAGACTCTAAGTCCTTGGGTCAGGGATGCGCCCTGGGTCCTGATCAACAGATATGCCCTCAATAACCCCTACGATGGAAAAACGAAGGTCCTTGCACTGAGTCCTGCTTGTGATGATCAGGACACTGTGTGCGCTATGTTTTATTAAGCACTGATTACAGGCCAGGCACTGTTCCAAGCACTGGGTGTGGATGATCGTATACAAGTCTCAGAAGAGCTCTTGGAGGCAGGCACCACTATTATCTTTATCAAAATGATGAGGAAGGTGAAGATATCAAACAAGTAGTAAATTCGAGAACACGTGACTAGCAAGCCACAGTCCTTCCATTTCTCACCGAGCACTGAAACAGTTCTCTGTGGTGAAAACTGGGAGTGGAAACCTGGAATCCAAGCCTATGTTCTGCTACAGACTTGCTGTGTGATGTTGGGCAGGTCACTCTTCCTCATTTGTAAACTGAGGGCCTTAGGTGGCTGGGAAACCCAGCTGGGGCACCTAGGGGTCCATGTGTCCAAAGCACCCACTGTGGTTCGGAGGCTGGAAAGCAAACTCAAGGATGTGAATGTTGATTCCAGCCTGGTCCTGAGCGCTGTCCTCAACCCGAACTCCTCGTGGGCTGGGCCTGAGTCCCTGGCATCCCAGCTCTCTGCCCGGCACACCAACAGCCTGCTGGCCTACGTGGGCTGAACTGGGTCGTAACCTTGGAGTCTGTCTACGTGGACACACACCTGTCCTCCTCTCCCTGCCCCTGCCCACCGTTGTCTGCTCTGGTCTCTGTTTCCTACACTCCCTGCAGTGGAAAACAGCCACTGCGAGGAACCTGAGGTCAGAGCAGTTTCGAATCCCCGTGGTGGACAAAGCCAAAGGAAGTGGACACTCTGGTCTCCCCAGGGAGATATTTTTCCAGTGAGCAATGTCATTCCCTGGACAGGCCATGGAGGGCAAGTTCAAGGGTCTTTCCCCTGAGTATTTTACTGTGAGGATCATCACAAAACATGTCATACAAATTTTATGTTCTCACCACAGAGGTGGCTGAAGAAAAGAGTATTTTTGGATCTCTTCTGCCGTTTTTTTCCTCACTGGGGAAAAAATACCTTTTATCTTCCTGGTAGCAAGTTCCTCATCTCCCTTGACCCCACTGTAAACCCAAGAGCAAGGGAAACAGCTCTGCAATGTTTCTGAGAGAAAAAACAGTCTGAAAAGTCATCTTTTTTTTTTTTTTCTGGAACATTTTGAGAAGATGTTTTCTTGTTTTTTAAAGTACAAAACCACTAATTTTGCTTTTTTTTTTTAATGTAAGAGGTCCTTCATCCCTGACCCTCTGAATGTTTGGAGGCAGGGAGCCTAGGCCTACAAATACGAAGTTTGAGAAAACTCAAATAGGCAGGAGCTCTTGGGGGCAGAGAGAATGGAAGGGAGAGGGGGCTAAACTCGGGTGTGTGTGTGTGTGTGTGAGGGGGGAGCCAAGGAGCCCTTCCTCCATGATGGCTGTCACCTCTCTGGATGGCAGCTCTAGGAGGAGGGTCCTGGCCGCCATGGTTGGTGCTGAGTCCCCATCGCCTGGCCTGGAGCCTGGCGCCCAGCACCAGGACTGGTTAGTGAAGGCTGGATGACTGCGTGTGCGCCACAGCTGTGTTCGTGTCTGCTGGTCCCTGTGAGGACATGTAGGCGTAGCAGGGCCAGGAGGGGTCTCAAGAGATGTAAGACCTCAGGCAGGAAGGCCCTTAGTCCGTCCCTGGTCCAAAGCACCCAGGGCATCCTCAAGAAGGCTGGGCACCCACTCCTCCGGGGTGCAGCCTGCCTCTCTCTGGCTCAGAAGCAAGTGTGCAGGCCAGTACTGCTCCTTTGAGAAGGTGTCCTGGGGGAGGGGGCCGGGGTGGGGGTGGCTTCGGCTATGGTAGCAGCCAGAGGGAAGTGGTTCCTGGACTTGAGATGAGAGCTATATTCCAGAGCAAGATGGAACCTGCAAATATAGATGTAAGTCCTCCTGGGAGCTTTCTGGCCTCTCTGGGGAGGGACGGTGTCCGCCCTGGATCCCTCCCGACACCTCCATGGTGGCCACTCCCTGGGCAGGAGGCTGCTGCTCTCCTGGGTCAGCCACAAAAAATAGCAGGGCCCCCACCCACAGAGTCACCGGTAGTGCTGCGCTGGGGGTCCTGGGGAGTGGCATAGGCACGCAGGCCTGGGGACTAGCTGGCTCCTGTGGTCGCCCAGCCATGTGCTTCCCATTAGCCGCCCACAGCCTGGGAGGGGGCGGCCACAGGGCTCTCCCTCACGTGTCTTGGCCTTGTGTCAGCACCACCCATCCGCTGGGGTTTGAAGGCCACAGAAGGGGAGCCCGGGAAGGGGTTGCGGGGACAGTGTGAACACGGAGATGTGCAGTTGGGGGGAGAATGGAGGACTCTGAGGCCATAGGGGCATTTTCAGGGGAGGGCAGTGGAGAGCCAGAGCTGCGGGGGGTGGGGTAGAGAGATGGGGCAGGGAGAGGGTTTGGGGTGCAGAGGAGGACTGTGGGACCAGGAGGCCTGGTGTGGGGGGCAGTCCTGGAGGAGACAGGGGGACTGTGGGGTTGGGGGGCAGGGAGCATGGACAGGAAGCTGGCAGGGGAAGGAGAGTGGGGATTAGAGGTAGATGGGTAGGGACAGTCCTGCTGGCGGGGGCAGCGGGCTGTGGGCCTGGGAGAAGCATGGGCTGTAGGTGGGTCGTTGGGGAGATTCTGGGACCCGCAGCTCCTCTGCAGCATCTCTCACAATTCTAATTCCCTACGTCTTTTGTTCCATTCCTACCCCTGCAGCGCCATGCTCCCTGTCCTAATTTTCAGTGTCCTCCATGACCCGTTTATCATCCTTCTTCCTCACCAGCCTGTACACCCCATGTCTGTCTGGTTCACAGCTCTGTCCCCAGAACCACACCCCTGCCTAGCCCCGGGGAACCCCAAGGACAGGTCTGTTGAATGAAGAGGAATCTCTGCACAGTGACTAGGGAAGTGTGCCCTCCTGACACACTTGGACACAGAAAATTTAAGAGGCCCAATGGCACAGATCTTGCTGACTCATGGACTGATGCTCCCCACCCCCACCATCCTTAGGCCCATGGGTTGTCAAACTGCCTGTCGGAACACAGATGCTCTAGATGCTGCTGAGGATGGGGATGGGGAGGTTTGTGAGGGCGGTGGGTGAGAAGCCTCTGGGAGCCGCGTGTGCCCAGGCCATGGGCCAGGGCACGGCCGACCACGCTGGAGCCCATGGGCGGATTCTGTCCCTCTGGCCAGGAGGACCTCCTGCTTCAGCCCTCACCTCAATGATGTAATCTCTGCCGTCCTTGCTGTGGACCGCCTTGACAGCGCAGATGTCCAGGCCGCCAAACATTTCTGAGCAGCTGTCCACCCACAGCCTGTACCTGCAGGGATGGAGAGATAGACTGTGAGTGTGGGGGGAGAGAGCAGAAGGGGGAGCAGAGGGAGAGAGAGAGGTGGAGACAGAGAGAGACACAGGGAGACACACAAACAGGCCATAGGACAGTGACACGTGCACACATCCAGAAACAGAGAGAGGTGGTCAGAAATAACAAGAGACAGAGATACAGAGAGAGAGACAGAGACACAGAGGGAGACAGAGAGGCAATGGGAGGGACAGAATGGGGTACAAGCAAAGGCAGAAACACAGATGGGCAGAGAGACAGAGAGACTAGCAAGGGAGGCAGGAAGCCGGAGAGAGGAAGGGAGAGGAGCAGAAGGAAGGAGAGGAGGGAGAGATGTCAGGGACCCAGCCACGGCAGTGCCGTGCTGGCTCCACAGAGCTTGCCCTGCCTCCATCCGGAGCCATCCTGAACACCCAGCCACTCCTGCGGCCCTTTCCCTTGGGAAAGCTGCTGGAAGGGCTCAGAATCCCTCCCAGGCCACCCTCCAAGCCCCAGTGAGCACGCTAGACAACAGCCTGCGGGGGACAAAGGGCGCATTCTGCCCTGAGCCTGGGGCGGGCAGGCCGGGGAGCCTGGCAGGCCGCTCTCCCCTCTGGGCCTGGCCCTCTGGACCCAATGCTTTTGTTCCCTTTCCAGCCACTTGATGGCTACAAGGTCAGTTTGCTTTGCAGGGGAAAGATCTCGACACTGAATTTTGACCCCACAACAAGGGGATGGTTGTATCTGGAGAAGTCTTCCCGGGCTCGCACTTGGCATCTCTTGTGGGGGCCGGACTTGGGAGTCACCGAGGACTTGGTGTCAATATTCTTGCTTCTGCCCTCACTCTCCAGGGTCACACAGGGCACGCCTGCTCTGAGATCTATTTGTGTCTCTGAGCGACAAGGCCTAGAATGAGGAGAGGTCATGGCCAAAGTGCTCTTAGAACCAACCCTCTCATCTTAACCACCAAGGCCCACTGAGGCCCAGAGGTGGAGAGCAGTTTGGCCAGGTCACGCAGGGAGACAGTAATACAGCCAGGATTACATAGATCTCCTGGCTCCTGGCTCTGGCTTTTTTCATTCAACTCTAACAGAGAGTGTGTGAGATCACAGAAGGAAAAGGAAGGATGAAAACTCATGCATATTCAGCAACCAACAGGTCCCAGGCCATCTGCGGGGGGTGACCCTTCATTCTCTAACCCCCACCCAACTCTGTCAGGAAGGTCTAACCCATCTTACCGATGAGGAGACTGAGGTTGAGAGAGCTTCACCAGCCACTGTGCTGGCCTCCAAACCTAGAATCTGTCTGATTCCACAGGCCAAGCAAGCCACCCTTCCTCTCAGTTGGGACACATGGCAGCCTGTTGTCCCTCTGCCTGGGAGACTAGTGACCTGGAGTCTTGCTACTAAAGTCCTCAATAATTTTGCGTAATCCTCTCCTTCTTGAAGCCTGTTTCCTTATCTGAAAAATGGGCAGGCCTATGTATGATTCTAGTTGTGTCCCAGAATCACCAGAGGGTAGAGCAAACAAACATAAACATACAGATTTGGGGGCCCTGCCCTATGCTAGAATACTCTCTATACAGTTTTAAAGCTTCTCACGTGATTCTCATGTGCAGCCACACATGAGGACGGCCTTTGGTCCTCAGAGTTCTAAGATCCCCCTGGGCTCTCGCACAGGGTCCCTGTATTTGGCAGTAGTGGCTCACAGCTGAGGCTCCTTCAGTTTAGGGAGGCCTGTGCCCTGAGACACACCCCTGAGTCAGGTTTCTTCTCAATGGAAGACAGAAGCCTGGACTAAGACCCAGAGAAAGCTGGTTTCTAGAGGCTGTTTGCCAATGATGAACTTCCAGAATACCTACTGGCTGTATCCATGGGGCATAGGTCCCCTTTCCCAGGGCCCAGGAAGGGGCTCCATGGATGGAGCAGGACGGGAAAGACTGGAAAACATGGGTCACGCTACCCCCTGCCCCAGCCAGGTGGGACTAGCACTGACCAAGCCACATTGTTGGTTTTGCTGAGGGGTCAGGTTACCTGGCAAACGGGTAAGCCAGGTGGAAAAAGGAGCCAGGGCCTGTTTATGGGCCCCCAGAGACTTCCTCCCACTGTGGAGGTGGGATAGGGGAGCTCTGCTTCAGGCTTTGGGAATACTGCCTATGACTTTACAGAAGGGAAAGTGAATTCCAGGCCTAAGTGGACCCTGGCCTAAGGCAGGCTCTGGCAGGAAAGGCCAAGAAACCTGGAACTGTGCGGAGCTAGGATGTGGTGGTCTGCTGGGGACACTTGAGAGCAGTTCATGGGGCATCGCAGAAGGCTGGGCTCACATTCTGGAGAGGCCACAGAGAAAAGGACCACGGTGCCCCATGGCTGTTCACTGGGGGAAGGAAACTGCCTCAGACCAGATGATTCGGGTGGGCAAGGTAACAAGCACGCCCTCCCTGAGACTAGTTGATATAGGCCGGCTCCCAGAGGAAGGCGGCAGCTGCCACCAGGGCTGACAGGAAGGGAGGGCAGCCCCACCCTGCCACGGTGGCTGTGGGGTTAGGTACTGACCGTCCCTCTCCCCGATAGCACTCTAGTTGATCACCTCCGATTAACAGCTGAAGCGGTTCACAAAGATTAGTTAACTCGCCTCAGGTAACACAGCTTAGAAGGGACAGGACCACTCATTTTCATTCACATCCTGCTTCTTAGAGGCCCTGAGCCAGCAGATCATGAGGGCAAGGACCACGTCTGTCTTGTCTGCCACAGTTCCCCCAGGGCCTCACTCAACACCTGGCTCCCAGCTCCCGCTCAACAGATAGCCAACAAGGAAATGAAGGGATGCCTCCCAACTCCTACTCACTCTTTACAAGGTGATTGTGGAACCACCTCCTTCAGGAAGCCTTCTCTGGCCTCACTCCTCCCTTATCTGCATTGGGTGCCCCTTCTCTGTGCTCCCCCTGCAAGCACCACAGCTCACTTCCACCCCAAAATACCACACTGTGTCTCCTCTGCTGACTGGGGAGCCAGGAGTGGACCTCTGTAGGTTTAGTCTGCACAACATTGATTTCCCTTCTTATCCTTTTTGATGTTCGGTGGAGTCAAGCCTCCCCACCCCATTGCTGCGATAGCTGGCCCCAGGGCAATCTCCAATGGGTGGAGACAAGATGTAGGCCCGGAGCAATCTCACAGGTGCCGCTTCTGGGTCTAGTGATTGGCTCAGCAATGGTCATGTGACCCACAGCAGGTCAATCCATGATCAAGGCTCCCTTCCAGTCTTTGGTTGAGATGGTTGGGAAAGAGAAGTTTTGTCCCTGCCCTCCTTGACATGGTCAGGATGGAAGTCTGGGGCCTCGATGGGCCACCAGATGAGCCCGCCGTGTGGAATGAAGCTAACGCAGAAGAAAGCTGAGCTGAGGTGTGTAGAATGAGCCCTAAAGCCTTACCTAGAGCTGTACCTCTGCAGTTTTCATTGCCACAAGCCAACCAATCTACCTTCTGTCTCTGATCAATGAGATTTGTGTTGTGATGGTTGGAGTGGACCCAGAGTCTTTGAAGGGAAAGGCTGGACCTTTTTTCATCTTGGCTCCTTTAGTGCTTGGCACAACATGGCAGGCAGTAGGCACTCAATAAATGTTCACCCAGCAGACCTGACCCCAAAGCCCACACTCCATGCACTCTTGTTGCACGCCAGCACACAGAGGTCACCAGACACGCAGGGAAGCATGTTTGTGTGCTGCTGGCCTTGCGAGCAGGTGACTGGCCCTTCTTCAGGTGAAGAGAGTGCCCAGCAGTGCTGAAAGGCAGAGGGACCTGAGGGGCCTTCAGCCAGGGTGCACATACCACATTCATGACTCAGTAGAAATAACCTCTCCCTCCTGACACTGAGTTGAAAATATAAGTCTGAGAGAGGGATGGACATTCCAGTAGCCCTGGTGCCCTAATAAGGATGCTTTTATGTACCTGTCAGAGCACAGAGGGGACTGGTAAGGACTCCCTGCTCTTTCTGCAATAGCTGGGCAGGGCTGGAAAGACCCCTGGACTTGCAGTTAAGACATCAGGGATCTACTCTCAGCTCTGTGACCCTGGACAAGTCACTTTCCCTCTCTGAACTTTCTTCTCTCATCTGTGAAGTGGGATTAACGTAACATCTACCCTGCAGGTTGCTGTGCAATCAACAGCTGACGTGCCTAGGAACGTGCTCTGTGGGTGGTGAAGCACTGGCAGGAGGGTGAGGCGGCACTCCTTACAGGCCCCTTGTGGTACTCCTCCCCCACCTCCTGCTGGGGCTGGTGCCACACCCTCTCACACCTTGTCTCTTACCTCTCAGTCATGGCCACCTGCTCCAGCATGGCAGAGCCTGTGTTGGCCTTCCAGTTTCCAGAGATGGATGTTCGCCTGTATCAGAAAAATAACACTGAGGGCATTAGGACCCCTGTCACTGCTCTGCTTTCCTTATTTGCTTTGGCTGTTAGGACGCTCCAATTCAAATACCTGCCTCACGTGCTGGTGTATATCATTAGGTACATGTCTTGTCCCCAGCTTTATTTGCCTGTTTTTATTTTCCTTTATGTTGATTATCTTATTTATTTGTTGGATCTTATGTATCTTTTTCTAGATTTCTTTGAGATCTAAAGATTTTTTTTCATTTTTTAAAATTTGAATTCAATTAGACCGTATATAGTACATCATTAGTTTCAGAGGTAGAGGTCAGTGATTTATCAGTTGCATATAACACCCAGTGCTACATCACATGCCCTCCTTAATGCCCATCGCCCTCTTACCCCCTCCCCCCACTCCACTCCCCTGCAGCAACCCTCAGTTTGTTTCCTATGATTAAGTGTCTCTCATGGTTTGTCTCCCTCTCTGATGACTTCCCATTCAGTTTTCCCTCCCTTCTCCTATGATCCCCTGCACTGTTTCTTATATTCCACATGAGTGAAACCATAAGATAATTGTCTTTCTCTGATTGGCTTATTTTGCTCAGCATAATACTCTCCAGTTTCATCTATGTCGATGTAAATGGTAGGTATTCATCCTTTCTGATGGCTGATATTCCATTGTATAAATAGACCACATCTTCTTAGCCATTCATCTGTCAATGGGCTCTTTCCATAGTTTGGCTATTGTGGACATTGCTTCTATAAACACTGGGATGCAGGTGCCTCTAAAGTTTAAATCTGAAAAATGTCTACACCATCAGATGAAATGCCCCAAGCTTTGGCCTCTTGTTTTTGAAAAGGAGAACCAAAGCAATAGAGCCACTCATGATTCTGGAATTTCTTGAGGGCTCCAAAATGTAGGAAAAATGATCCATGGAGAGAAGTGATAATTTTTTCATGGTGAAGGGCAGGAAGGCCTTCTGGCCTCAACACCCTCTCGGTTCGTCTTTCCTTTTCTGTTCCAGCAACACCAACCTCCCTTGCAGTGCTCCAATGCCATGGGTTTTTCCTATGTCAAGGCTTCTGCATACATTCTTCCCTTGCCTGATTCAGTCTATGTCTCCATCTTTGCCTCCCTAAGGACTACTCATCCTTCACGTTTCATATGACATGTGACTTCCAACAGCCCACCTCCCCTAACAAGAGTAGATGCCCCTAAACCAATGTTTAGTAATGCTTATCTCACTTGGAAAGACTCCTTTAGTGTCCAGTCTCCCTAGGGCAGGGGAAATGTTAGACTCATCCCCTGTCCCCACACTGTCCAGTGGGACCTGGCAAGTAGTAGATACCTAGTAACTAACTACTGGGTAAGGGACTATATTAGGGGGAAAATCAAGACAAATAATCTCCAGTGAGATTATTTGGATAATCTGGATTATCCAAATCCAGATATCTGGATTCAGCAAAGACTGAATGAGTGTAAGCAAAGTGGCAGAGGTAAAGTTTTTCATTTTATGGCCAAGGGAAGGCATGTAAGGGAAGGTATATGGTTGAGATTAAAGGGTGAAGTGGGAGTAATTGCTACACAAATATATCTTCTTAAAACAGAAAATAAATTGTATCTGAAAACAGCAGATGCTGAAAATAGATGGTGGCCACCAGGAGCTAGAATTGCTAAGGGGCGCAGTGATGTTGATAAGCCTTATGTCAGTTCAGTTCAGCCTAGCTTGATTCAATTCAATTCAGCAAACTCTCACTGGGCTGCTCTATGTCCTGGGTTTTAGATTTATCTTGGTATGCAGAGATGACCCCATCCTAAGGCTGCTCATTACCTGGAAGGGTGGACCAGTTTCAAAGGAGTGAAGAGCTCTGGGAAAGCAAAGGAGAAATCAGAGTCATTCAACATGACCCCAGAAGGGAACCAATGAATGTGCCTCAGAGGGTGGTAGGGTTGGCATAGCAGGATCTGCATGGTAGTAAGAGAAGGGAAAAACTGACTTGAGTCAGACAGATGCAAGGTTGAATCTTGTTTCCATAATTTTCTTGCTGTATCTCTGAGTTTTTATTTTTTTCATTGGTGAAATGGGAATGATCTCCATCCTTCCACATTGTGTGGACTAAAGGAAATATTCCCATAAATGGCTTAGCCCTTGGGGCACTACCATTATTTTTCAGTCACTGGAGACAAGAAAAGAAGGCATTGCAATGCCAGAGGCAGCAGGAGCACAAGCCAGATTGCTCTCCTGCCAAGAAAATAATAATAGTGAGAGTTGCTATTTGATGGGGGCTTTCTCTGTCTGAGACCTGGGTCTAAGGGCTCTAGAAGTCCTGGTTAATTCAGGCTCACAGAACTAATGAGACAAATATTACTGTGATTACCATTCTCACTGAGCGGCAGAAGCCACCAATCCCCATCTGAGAAACTCCAAGCTCCTAACTATGACTTTCCATGGCAGAGCCCATCCCAGGCTTGGGGGAAAAGAGTCACTTGGCCCAAAGGTGATTCAGCTACTGGAATGTGGGACAGAATGTAGACCGTGACAGAAAAGTCTACCTATATTGCAAATGTATGACGTTCACCTCCTTGCTGAAGAGGGTGGAGGCGGGTGATAAGGTGTGGACCCAAGTAACCTTGGATGGGAGTGGAGGCCATCTGACTAACCATAGAAGGAGCTGTGCATGAGCACTGTACTGCCGTGGGTAAAGCTCTTTCCCACGGGGCTCCAAGTTAATGGTTCTGCAATTGTACTGGGACTGAACAAATAAGTAAATAGATGGCAGATGGTAGGAGCCAGGTTTTCCCTGTTGGAGCAGGAAGTTATAGATAAGCAATCTGGGAAGGCTGAAATGAATCATGTGGTACCCGAGGAAAGTCGGAGATGTCAATATGAACTCTTTTTAGCTTTAGATAGAGCTGGATACATACAGAAATAATTACAGATATATGTGCACGCATGGGTTAAGGCACACATATGTATTTCCTGGCTCTGTCTGCTGAGAGGCCCTAGTAACAGGGACACCCCAGTAGCAACAAGTACAAAGGCCTTGAATATAGGGCAGGAAGTGGGCCAGAAAGGAGGCTGAATGGTCGGCAGGGTTGGTAATGGTGGTGGTGGTGGTGGTGGCAGGCAGAGAGGATGCTCTACATTGAGGTCTGACACAGACCCCCTCCCTTGGACAGGGGCCAACCCAGGGTCCAGGAAAATCCATAACTAATGACAAACTGGAGCTGCCAGGGCAGAAAGGCTCAGCATAAAGAATGCAGCAGTGAGCTAATCTTCAAGAAGTGAAACTGGGACAAGGTGTCGTCAATGTCAAGTGGAAACACGAACAATGAGGAGAGGAGGGAAATGATATCATGATGGATGGTGGAGGCCTCAGGAATGCATCGGACGGCTGCACTGGAATGTTCCCCAACGCAGAGGGGGCAGAGGAGAGCCAACCTTATGACTCTGAGGGTATCTGAGAGCAGGAACAGGTCTGTCCTGGCTCAGGGGTGGAAGAGAGGAATGGGCAAGACAGAAGTATTCCTTGAGGACTGGCTCCACCCCTTTCCTGGGAAGCTTTCCTTGATAGGTCAACTGTCTGCATCTTCTCCAGTTCCCCAGGTGATGGCAGAGTGGAGTAGTTGCTGTGCATTGTGTGCCCACAAAGCCTAAAATGACCATTGGGCCCTTTATAGAAAAATTCTGCTGACCCATAGTGGAGGCAATCTAGGTAGTGGAAAAGCAACCCTAGATAATGCATAAATGAATGTGTCTGGCTGTGGCTAATAAAACTTTATTTACAGAAACAGGTAGCAGCTGGATTTAGCCTGTGGGCTGTGGTTTGCTAACCCTGACCTAGAGCATGAGTTCCACTGCACAAAAGCGCACAGAGAGATTTCCAACTGTCCAGAGCCAGCCACTGCAGCCCTCAGATAGGAGCCTGTGCACAGCCAGTGCTCCATTAACACTTGGCAACCTGGCACAGGTTAGCTCTCTGGGGGTAGATTCCTTCAAGGGGAATCTACAACATTCCAAAGTGAGACACAGAGAGGCCTTGGAGCAGACAAGACCTCCCACCTTTTCAAGAACTTCCATTCTGACGACCGCAGCAGCTCGAGTGTGAGGCATCCTGTGCCAGAACCACCTCTGGGGTGAATGTGTTGAATTTTCTGGCATTCATTCCTCTTCCCTTTGTCACAGCACCTCTGTTCCCATTGGGGGATGACCCTGCCCATATTATATGTTATCTTGGTGGGACTCTCCATACTGTTTTTCTGCCATTCTCTAACCAACAAGCATGTGATCCAAGTTGGGTTCATCAGTGCTGTTTCCATGCCATCACAACCTTGAGTTCAGCACTGAAAATGATTCCAGCAGATTCATTTTCCAGTGGGGGTACCATGAAGATTGTTACTCTCGCCACCCAGATTCCTGCGGCTGCCCTAAATCCTAATATTTCTGAAACTGACAGTTGAGTGGTTTCAACTGTTTTCAGAGTTTCTGATCATTCATGGCTTTCTAATAAATTTCCTGTTGAAAACTCCATCAGTGTGGTCAGATGTGGTTTCTGTTGCTTGCAGCTGGAGAAATCTGATGTAATCTCCTAATTGGTCTTAAAAATTCTAGAGAAACCCCTTGGCAGCCTGTGGCCCCAGAGCCAGCTTTTTATAAATACAGGTCAGATCGTGCCACTTCTCTGCTCAGAAGAAAACAAGACAAAACCCAAAACCCTCAGCAAGGCATGCAAGCCCTCCTTGATTTGTCCTCAAAGCTTCTCTTTTAGTCTGGTATCCTATGATATACATCCCATGGATACTTGAAGTTCCCCCAAACATGCCAAGTATCTTTCTTCCTCTGAGAGAAACAGCTCTCTTTGGGTAGACAGATTTCGACCCTGGGATAAGCTCTGAGAAAGCATCAGCACTTAGCGGTACTGACTGGAGAAGAAGGGGAGAAAGAGGACATAAAGGGAGGGTAACGATGGGCTGAAGGGTCTCTGCCCTGTGGTGGAGGAGACAGGGCTGGACCTGCATCTCTAATCGCTGTTCCTCCTACACTCTCCTCCCACCTCTCCTCCCAGCAACCCAGCCCCTGCTCAGGGACTCACATGTAAGCCTTGTAGTTGGATCCGATTTTCTGGATGCGGATGTCGTACTTGGAGTCAATGAAGGCCTCAGTGGTAGCATAGGTTTTGGCCATAGCCACCATGCTGGTGATGTCCTGGTAGTCATGCTGGTTTTCTACTTTGATCTGTGTGGGAGGATCAGGGGGTGAGTGCCAGCCACCAGTATTCACGGAGCACAGACCCAATGCCAGGACCCAGTGTTCTATCTATAGAGTGACCATGGGAAAGTCACCTGCTTAGCAGGGAGAACAGGTCATTCTACTACATACATACCTGTAGATGAGGAAGAGAACATTCCATTTGGACTGTCAAGAGAATCTTTACAGAACAGGTAAGCTCTGAACAGGGTTTGGAATAGTACAGTTTTCAGCAGGAGCATTTCTCTGGAGGATAGAGGGGATGGGCAAAGCCGAGGCAGGAGGAGCCACACGGAGACGAGGGCTGTGCAAGTGGTTCAGACTGGGTGATTGGCCTGCAGGATGAGGGATGGCTGAAGAGGGTTGTCAGGAAACACACCTTGGGGGACTTCAATTGCTTTGGTAAGGGTCTATAATTTTAGCTTGAAGGCTCTGGAAAACCACTGGAAGAAGTAGAGGAGTGTAAACAAGAAAGTAGCCTAATTTGTGTTTTAGAAAAATCCCTCAAGTACTTACATGGAGGATTTCATGGCGAGTTGTACGGTGGGTTGAATGTGACATGGGGTAGAGCCCGGTTGGGAAAAAGAGAGTGCATGTATATGTCCATGTGCTATGTATGTGTTGGGTATGTGCATGTGGGTTGCATGTATGTGCAGTTTGGGGGGGTACATGTATGTGTGACGTGTTGTATGTGGTGCTTGTAAGAAGTGTGTGTGTGTGCGTGTGTGTGTGTGCACGTGCATATACACTGGAAAAGGCTAATTGTGCCCAACCAAAGGCCTGGGGGAGACACTCACTGTTTATTGGGCTGAGGCCAGGAACATGAAGTGGTGCTTTGGGGTCAGGGGGAGGTCCCAGGAGAACTTCCAAGGCCAATGCAGGGGACAAGGCCAATGCTCTATTGCTGTGATCTCAAGACAGGACACAAGCTGATTGCCACCAGCTGTGGACAGTTAAGAGTGCTGCCCCCTCCCCTGTTACCCTCACCGGGACAGCACAAGGGGGTCTAATGTTGGGCCAGAGGTGGGCAGAGCCCAGATCCCCTGGGGGGGGGTGTTGGGGTGGGTGTGGGGCAGCTCGCGCAGGAGGCTGTCCTGTCCTTATAATCTCTCTTAGCTCCTCTCTTATCTCCCTTGGAGACTCACCAGTGCCCTGACCACTCCATCCCTGCAGAATGATGCCCACCCACAACCTCACAACTTACAAAGAAGTTTCACAGCTCTCTCATGGCACACAAACCGGGATTGTGAGGTGGGCAGTGTGGGCATTATTATGGTTATTTAACAAATGCAGAAACTTATTTCTTGCTTTGTCCAAGGCCATGTGGCAGCTAAGCACAGAGCTGGGAATGAAATTCAGGAGTCCAAGAGCACAGCTGTTCTCCAAACCATCTTGAGGGCAGCTGCAAGTGCATGCCTGCTGTCCCAACCTAACAGATGGGAAACAATGCAAGGCTTGGCATACTTTCTCTCTTCTTGGCTCTCTGAGAGTCCCAGTCTCTCAGCGATGACACTAAGTCCCACTTTGAGGAGAAAATAAAAGTGACCAAGCAAGAGTCCTATTTGCCATCCTTTCCCAAGCTCACCAGCTTTCCTGCCTTTCCTTCCAGGCTGCAGCGTGCTCCTCCCACTCATGGCTGAAGCTGCCCTTTGTTCCAGGTCTTCTAAGACTGACTGCTCACTGCCCTCTTCTCCTTCAATAATAGGACCTGTTATTTTTATCTGGAGATCTAGTCTCTCAGCTAAAGATTGTTTGTTCCAGTCTCCCTCATAGATAGATGTGGCCAAGTCTCAGAGTCTGGTCAATGAACACGTGAGTAGATGTGCTATGAGCAACCTCTGGGTGGTGCCTTTACCACAAAGGGAATCTTCCTTTTCTCCTTTCCCTCTTCCACCTGGCTAGGTCCTCGGACCACAGGATGGAAGGCACATGTTGAGGATGGCTGAGTTAGGAGGTGGAAGGATCCTGGATTCCCAACACCATGGAGTCCCCAGTCTGCCCGTGACTGTGCATGTTCAAACTCTTATGTGAGAAAGAAGTAAACTTTAATCTTGTTTAACTCACTGTTATTTTGGTCTTCATTAAAGCTGCCAAATTATATTTCTGCCTTGAAGATTCGTTATTCTTTGGGTCAGTCCAATCATGGGTCCTCCATTCTCCTCAAATTGTTCCTGCTTTTCAATAATCCAAGTACTCACTGCTCTCTGTCTCTACCTTCTCACTTCCCACTCACCCCTAAACCTGCCATCTTCAAATTTCACTCCCCATCACTCTGCTGAAACTGAGCTGGCCAAGGTCACCTGTCACCTCCTCACTGGCAAATACAATACCCTTCTTTTGATTAGCATTCTTTTTTAAAAAAAAGATTTTATTTATTTATTTATTTATTTATTTATTTATTTATTTATTTATTTATGAGAGAGAGAGAGAGAGAGAGAGAGAGAGAGAGGCAGAGACATAGGCAGAGGGAGAAGCAGGCTCCATGCAGGGAGCCTGATGTAGGACTCAATCCCAGGACTCCAGGATCACACCCTGGACCAAAGGCAGGCACTAAACTGCTGAGCCACCCAGGCATCCCTGATTAGCATCCTGTTTGGCATTCCACAACATCTGAAATTGCTGAACTTTTTGACACTTGGTTTCTACATCACTACTCTCTTCTGATTCTTTCTTTCTGCAATTTCTTCACCTTATTGCCTCCTCTTCTTCCAACTTCATCTTTAATGACCAGAGTGTTTCATCTTCAGTCAACATTTGGGGTCCGGGAGAGTTAGAGGTACCAGAATGAAAGAATGGGTGGTGGTTGTGGGGGAAGCTTTGCAGGGGCAGCTTGTCTAATTCAGTTTTGTCACTGGGTGGCCCTGGAAAGTACCAGACCTTCTGCATCCCAGTTTCCTAGACAGCACAGCATACATGGCAGGATGTTTGGACACTTCTATCTATCTACAATGTCCATTCCCTTCTACAGTCATGAAGCACCCCGATCTGGGGCCACATGACCTCTCATGGAATAAACATTACACTCCCCCATCTCCCTGGCACCTGTGTGTCCATGTGACCCTGTTTTCTGCTTCTGCAAGCAGAAGCAGAGTCTGAACTTCTAGGCCTACTACTAACAGGAAGGGGAGGGCTTTTGCTCTTCCCGCTGGCTGCAGTGTAGACCATCTTTGACATTGTGGCTGAAGAGCAACACCCCAGGAAAGCATGATCAACAAGATGGAAGGAGCCTGGGTCTTCAAAACTGAGGAAGTTCTATGAGAGCCCTGGGTTGCTTTCACCCAGACCATGTGTGAAAGAGAAAGTCCTGGCTTACTGAAGCCACCTTAGGTCTTTGTTACACAGCTGAACTTTGTTCCAATTATTATAGGGGCCCTAAGTAAGTATTTATTCAATACATCATGCCTGCATTCATCTCTTCACAGGATAGACAAAAGAGATCAAAGAGAGACAGTGTAGACAGAGGCATTTAGTGAATTCATTAGCTAATTAATTTGTGGTCAGCCCAACCTCTCCTTGTGTACCTTTCTGGGTGCTTTGGGGTAGGGTGCTCATCTTGCCCTCTCTAGGAGTGAGGATATAATCCAGGTTTCGTGTATACCAACCCTTCTAAAGCCCCAGGACAAACCCTGGCCTATGGTCCTGGCAATATTAAGTCCTTTTCCTTAGAGAGGGTCTTCAAACTGTGCTATGTCTGGGTCCTGTGAAGCCCAGCTCCACCCCAGCACCAACCCAGCTCCACCCATGTCTTCCTCCCACTAGACTGCCAGTTTCTTGGGGACAGACAACCAGTCATAACACAGGTGCCTGGCACGGATGCACCCAGCATGTTTGCTGGACTGAATTTAAGGCTGGTTAAAGATTCACTTGTGACTTGAGAGGGAGTAGAGAGGTGGACAGAATACAGGAGTTTGGGAAAAGGCAAAGAAACAGTGTCCCAGGAAAACCTGTCTTTTACAAGGTGAATTTTTCTGTAGCTGCTTAGCCTGGATCCTGGGCTCTCAGAGGTTCATCTTTTTTTTTAAGATTTTATTTATTTTTTCATGAGAGACAAAGAGAGAGATGGAGAGGCAGAGCAAGAAGCAGGCTCGAGGGATCATGACCTGAGCCAAAGGCAGACACTCAACCACCCAGGTGCTCCAAGGTTTATCTTTCGATTGTGAGACTCTGAGCAAGTCAGGAACTGCAGAGAGGCGGGCAGGGGGTCTGGAGTAGGGTGTGGTGGGTGCTGGAGGGGACTCTGGCATGGTCCTCAGGCGAAAGGACAGCGGGATCAGAGGGTATGAGGCCAGGCAGCCACAGGGATGGTGAAGTGGCTGCTGAGCTGGGGAGGGAGTCTTGGCACTCGGCTGTATTTACTAGCTGGAAACTTCTCCAAATGTTCACAGAGACAAGCTGAACACCGGAAGCTTTAAATGAGCTGTGATTCAAAATTACCATTTGCTGCTCTGGGGACCTGCAATGGGGTCACTGAGGCCTCCCTAACTCTGAAGCCTCATTCCCACGTCCCCGTCTCCCCTTCCCTGTCTCTTCTTTCCCTCTTTCTCTGCCTTCCTTGACTACTCTCCCTCTCCTCTATCCTACTGTACCTGCTCTTTTTTTTTAAGATTTTATTTATTCATGAGAGACACAGAGAGAGAGAGGCAGAGACACAGGCAGAGGGAGAAGCAGGCTCCATGCAGGGAGCCCGATGTGGGACTCGATCCCAGGACTCCAGAATCATACCCTGGGCCGAAGGCAGGTGCTTAACCAATGAGCCACCTAGGGATCCCCTGTACCTGCTCTTATGTGTTTGGGTGCACACGTGTTTTTCATCCTGAGGGTAAGCACGGTGGGAGCATGGAAAGAGACGATGGAAAGGGAGGAAAGTGGGAGGAGTCGGGTTACAGTTCTGAATCTTCTTGATGGGATTCACCTCTGAAGTCTCCTATTCCAGCCTGAAACAGGAGAGTCATTTTCCATCTTTGGTAGACTGTCTGCATTTGCTTGAA